GATTTCAAAAAACCCTATTCGAATCTTTTGATACCTATAATTCGAAAAAAACATCCGATTTCATTAAATTCATAATTCCAATTTATAATAAAATCATTAAACATTTACAAAATCTCAGTTCATGCCTTCGAAATTGTCTGTACCAGATCCCCAGAGAATGAACTATTTACCTATACTTTTCAGAAAATAGATTTGTTGTTTAATCAAAGACTTTTGGAGTAAGAGAAAAAAGATAAGATATCTATTACCGAAAAGGTTTTTATAAAAATTAATCGGAATCTTAATGAATTTGTCTTAAAGCTATTAGCTACACTTACTCCAGGAAAGCCTCTTACCTCTGATAAATATACCTCCTTCCACAATGTTTTCAGTAAGCAGAAATCGAACATTTTGCCTCATCACATTTACGATTATATCATCACTTTTGAGAACTCAATTAAAACTAGCTTAGGCTACTCATCTTTCTATAAAATGTTTATCGATGAGCTTAAGGCAATCAAGATCTATTTGATTAACAATCTGGCAAAAAGATTTATTGAATCTAATCAAACATCATTCGCTACCTTCATTTTATTTATCAAAAAAGCAGATGATAGTTTACGATTGTGTATTGATTATTACAAACTCAATACTCTAACATGCAAGGATTGCTACCTTTTCCCTCTAATCAACAAAACCCTTATATATCTCTAAGGTACTAAGATTTATACAAAACTCGATATCTACCAAGTATTTCATTATATTTATATAGATTCTCAATCTGAAGAATATACTACTTTTCGTATACGATATAAATCCTACAAATGTAAAATCTTATCCTTTGGCCTAATTAATAATCCAACTATTTATCAATACTATATAAACAATATATTATTCGATTATTTAGATAACTTCTGTATTATATATCTTAACAATATTCTTATTTATTCTGAGAATATTAAAGATTATAATAAACATGTATAGAAGGTTTTTATATATCTATATACTATTGGTTTATAAATAAATCTCAAGAAATCCAAATTTGATATTATCCACATCAAATACTTAGGATTCTGTGACGGAACAGACGGCTCTCTTCCGCTTACTGGCTCATACTACATATGTAGCATGATACGATGGCTCTCTTGGACCTTCCTTTCACAGCTTAGAGCCGTAGCTCTATAGCTCTAGACCTAGGCATCTTACGCCTAGGACTCTTTCACCCTTTTGGGCCTAGCCCTTATGGCTCCCAATACCTGTATATATAGTCCTCTTTTTAGTATTCTACATAGCTCTTCACTTGTAGATTCTAAGTATACAATCGGAGTCCTGTTTATACCCTTTTGGTCACACCACTCAACAATTCAATCTCAGTCGGCGAATAGGTAACTTATCGCAATTATGGCTGTCGGAAAGTGAGTAATCTTCTCGCTATTCTACCTTGTCTTCTCGATGCTGTAATAGATATTCATCACTACAATGGACGCGCGACAATTGAAGGAAGACAAGAGGGAAAGCTATAGGGAAATATAGAATCTGACAGCATGATAGGAATAAGTGTCTCTCCAAAAGCAAGAAGGGTTTGAAGAAGAAGACCTTGGATCCTTTCACCTGTAAAGATTGGTTCTAGATCAAGGTATGTTCAATATCGAAACCTAAAACCATTCGTAGAGACTGACAATATTTATTTTAGGCACCATCTTCATTTCAAGTTAGAGAATACACCAAACCCATTACTTACCCATCCTTCGAATTACATCTAATAATTAAAACAGTATCGGAAAGATCCTCGTAAACAGAACTATCAGTATCAAGAACGCCAACGACTTATTGAAGGGAAAAATCTTCGAGGTTTCTTTGGCCGATTTGCAAAAGGATGAGGACCATGCTTTCTGCAAGGTCAAACTCTGTGTTGATAAGGTTCAAGGAAAGAACTATTTGATCAACTTCTATGGTCTCGATTTCATATCAGACAAGCTCAGATCCCTTGTCCGAAAGTAGCAAACCTTGATCGAGGCCAATATTATCGTCAAGATCACCGATGATTATCTCCTTTGCCTTTTTGCAATTACCTTCACTCAACACAGATCTAACCAGATCAAGAAGACTACATACACTGCTTCTTCCCAAATTAGGTTGATTTGCAAGAAGATGATCGAGATCATTTAATGTGAGATCAGTATCTGCATTTTTATTCAATTTATCGCCAAGTTTATCCCAGAGGTTATCGGTCGTGAGATTGAGAAAGCTATCCAAGGTATTTATCTATTACAAAATGTATATTGTATTGTTTTCCATGGGGTAAATTACATATATTAATCAATTATTAGGTTCATATCAGAAAAGTTAAGCTTTTGAAGGTACCTAAGTTCGATCTTGGTGTTCTCCTTAACCTTTACGGTGAGTCAAACACAGATGAGCAAGGACAAAAGATTAAGAGGGAATTCAAGGAAAAGATATTGGAGAAAGTATAAATATGAGATAATATTATATGATTTGGGTTTGATGATATATTATATGTAGTCAAGTCTGGGCTTTGGGCAATATAGGTGTGACTTTGTATCATATGTAGCATGGAGCTATTATTCAATTCCAAAAATGTCAAAAAAAAATGCAAAAACAGGGTGCCTATGAGGATAGTCCATGGTTTGCAGAGGGGCCATTTGTTGGTTACCATTCGCATAGCCGACTTTTGGGTATATAGTAACATTTGGAATGGATTGTGATCTGGAGCTATTACGGCTATGGGGAGGAGCTTGGGTATACTGATGGCTGAATGGTCCCGGAGGTGGTGGGCTGTATGGTGTCGAATTTTGTTGGTTTTGGTAAGTGGGAATTGTAGTGTGGCTATTGGTGAAAACATGTTGACTATTGAGGAAAGTATTGTGAGAGTCTTTATTATGATAACCTCTACGACCTTTTTTGGTCGATTTTTAACTATTTTTTGCTAATCCTTGTTTCTATCATTTCTGTGGTCGCCAAAACCAGATTTAGCTGAAGACTGTTCTTCAGTAGTACCTTGTCCTTTGTGACTGTTTTGTTTGTCCTTGTCAGTCTGGGTAACGATAGAAGCACTATCAGTCGGTGATACAGGTTCATTCTTGTGGGGTAGCTTTCCAGCGCGAGGATTGAAGCCAATGCAGACTTGCATATTATGTACTTGGGTATCCTCAGGGAATTGGAATTATGTGAGGCCAATGAAATTCTAGATGTTTAAATAAGAATAACATAAGGCTGATAAAAGCATACTGTCTGTGAACCTTCAAATAGTTGTGCAGTTGAAACTAGGCTCCAATACCCTGTAACTTTAGGGTCATATACGCTATAGACGAGACCCATGGCGCTGATGAACTTTGGTATGTTGTAATATTTGAATCGCTGCTGAGAACGACTTTTTACCATGCCATTCCCACCAAGAGCCCTGTGGTTCAAACACTACCCCGAAAGCCTGTAAGATATTTCAAGTCAGCAGATAGAACTTCCAACGCACAGTAACTTCGAAGCACATTCAAGGTCTCACGATTCAAATATCAATAAATTCATAAGAGAGGAGATTTTATTGCCGTAATTAACAAAGTTGTCAGAAGTGTATGTAAATTATATTCAGGTACAGAATCTAAGCTATGTTATTGAGTGTATAAGTAAACAAGATGTACGCTAATAGTGAATACAGAAAAGAGGCAGTGCCGTGATATCTATAGTATCCATGACTTTCTAACATCCCCCTTATAATCAAAACCTTAATCATCCTGAAGTATATGTTACAAAGTAATCTTTTTATATGAAGTTGACCAAATTGAAAATTAACCAAATTGACCAAATAAATTGACCAAACTGACCACAATTTTCAATCTAATTGTTAAAGCCTCATTAACTCCTACAACAATCTATAGCCCTGCTATTATCATGATATCTAATCTTTTGTGGAATTCGACTATCCCATGATTAAGTTTATTATATTGTAGTATAAGAGTACTCTTACTTTTCTTCAAAATCCAAACCTAACCCCAAACTATAAATACAAAATGTTGGATAAGTAAGTTGTTTTGTGAATATATCCATTGTTTATTCTATTCCTGGGATTTATATCATATATAATCGCTTTGCATCAATTATATCTTCACAAATATAATGCTATCTGACTTGAATATACTTTGCCTTACTATGAAACTTGTTTTTGTTCATTCAATTCACTTATTTTCATTATTACAATAAAGAATAGGAATAAATAACTCAATTTCTGGGTATTCCTTTAGATCAATAATAAGTTTCTTTATCCACACAAGTTCTTTTGTATTTTCATTAACTGTAATAATCTCTGTCTCTACTTTATATAGCGATATAGATTTCTATTTTGTAGAAGACCAAATTATAGCTCCTCTATATCTTATAATAACTACTCCCTGAACTGATTTTTTATTGTCTGTTGAACCCCATGTCGAGTCTATAAATGCATTATATTCATAAAGTTGTTCCTTTGATCTATTGGAATAGATTATACTAATATTAGGACTGTTTGCAAGATATTATAGAAAGTGCTTTGCTAGAATTAGATACTTTTCTCCAGGAGTATGCATAACTCGTACTAATTGATCTACAGTATAAGAAATATCGGGGCAAGTACAGTTTACTAGATATATTGTTAATCTTACAATCTGTAGGTAAAGATTTTTGTTATCCTTTTCTAAGAGTTCAGAATCCTCTACATTCTTTACAAATGTTTCAGTTGGTAAAGGCAGATTCTGTTTTTTAGAATTATAGATTTTGAAGTATCTGAATATCTTCCTGATATAATTAGTTTAAGGAATCTTTAATGAATGTTTCGGGCGATTCTTTTCTATCTGGATACCTAGAAAGAGATCTATAACTCCCAAATCCTTGTATTTCCATTATTCTCCAACCAACTTTTTCATTTTATTGATATTATCTCGGTTACCAACAATTAATAACG